GAAGAAGTCTCTTGGAGGAGAGACGAAACGTTTCATTAGAGAAGAACCCATCCAGAAGACCTATACAATTTTTTTTCTTTTTGAGTTAATGAAAGTATTTATTTATGTTTATTATTGATGATTTTATCTGAATTCTTCTTTCTCTACAAGTGATGTGTATGAGTAAAACAGAAATGGTGTTCTGATGGCATCTGGATAATATTAGGTTAAGATTTATGAAAGATTAGATACCTACGGAAGAGGATTAGGACCAATGAAAAATAAAAAACAAGGAATTCTGACTTTAATCTCAGAATTCTGACTTTAATCTCAGAATTCTGACTTTTTTCTCAGAATTCTGACTTTAATCTCAGAATTCTGACTTTAATCTCAGAATTCTGACGTTTTTCTCAGAATTCTGACTTTTTTCAATTCTGAGATTAAAGTCAGAATTCTGAGATTAAAGTCAGAATTCTGAGAAAAAAGTCAGAATTCTGAGATTAAAGTCAGAATTCTGAGATTAAAGTCAGAATTCTGAGATTAAAGTCAGAATTCCTTTTTTTTTTTAATTTTTCAGTGGCCCTAATCCTCCTCCGTAGTACCCAACATGAACAATTCATATTTTTATAATAAGAGCAACTGTTGTGCTTTCAATGAAAAAAAAAGTTTAAGCAGTAAATAAAGGATCAATTTTGCCCTTTTAGTCCTTTTTTTATTCATAATAAAAAGGAAAAAAAATCCACACGAAACTTGTAAAAGTTATAGTGTGGAGTGAAAAGCAGGGCAGAAAATTAAACCTGTATGTTTGTTTTAAACATTACCAAATAAACACAAAGGTTGTGATCTAAATATGTTAAGAACAAAGAAAAAAGTCACCTAAAGCAGGATCGATGAGGCGCATTGTGTTACAAAATTCTTAGCTTTTGCGTTACATTTGTGGAGGTCAGTTAGGTTGAATGAGGTTATAAATAAGAGTGGAGGGATTGGAGGCAGTTGCTCCGCCTGCTATAATTAGAGACTGGGTCTGTGTTGTCAGGGTACAGTTGCATCCTAATGCCTTCCTGAACCAGGAGCGGTCAGAGCTTAAGGATGTTGATGTCAGCTGGTCCAGGAGAACCACTGCTACAGTAAATTCCAGCCATTCTGATGGAAGCCCCTTGTTACATGGTGTGGCCATCTGCTGAGCTCTGAGGTTTCTCTGCTGCTGCTGTAATCTCAACACTTTTCACAAACACTCGAACCAGCCCTTCCAGGGAAAATAAGAGGTTGCTTTCATCCCTCATATTTCATATAATTAAGGACAAGAGTTGTTGTTTTTTTTTTTAAATACGCAAATTTATTTTCAGTGAGTCACAGGACAAGCTGTCACATTTTAAATCAGGCAATAAAAAATTGTTATACTTCATTGTGTTAGATTTTGTTGTTTCAAGTGTTCAAACTGTGAAGGAGAGTAAGATTAGGTTTAGGATTATATTTAAGCTGAGTCAAGTTAAATTGTAATTCTTATTTGATAAAACTATAAAACAAACAATTTTACTGAAACTTTAAAAAAATTTAAGCTTGATTGACATGTCTGTAACCAAACGCAGTTGGAAAAATATTTGTAACTCTGATCATAAGGATTAAAAAAAGCCTATGTCGCCACCACGTGGACATCTAATGGAATTACAATTCACAGATAAAACAAAAGAAATAAGAAAAAATAGCAACTTCTCAGTAAATTTATGATTAAATTCCAAACTTTTCACAAATTAGATTTAAATTACTGCACTTAGTCTTTACACGTGTGTGGGTGCATATTATTACACTCTGCTCAGCAAATTACTTATACTTAAATTTTTGAAAGATGAGTTTTAATTAAATTGTAAGCAGAGCAAAATCAAACATTAGGAATCATATACTGGATTAATCTTCTGCTTTACAGTATAGCTTTTAAAATGTTTGAAATAAAAAAACATCCAACACATTAAATAATTCACCTACTTAAAGACAAATGAGAAAACATACAAAAAGATGACAGGTAAGCAAAACTCTATTTTATTCATCATAAATAAGCTTTGCTATGAGTTCTGCACGGCTCTCTCTCTCTCTCGCTTTTTACGATTCCGTGAATATTTTCAAACACAAAAAATTTACTCCTCTAAGTCCACTGGTTTGGGTTTTGGTTATCTTCTAGATTTCATCCTTGGCAAAGTGGTTCTCTGACGAGCACCCGCTCCAGATCTCACAGGTGAGTGACGAAGCGGAGCACCTCTCCGTCCTCCAGGCCTCCAGCTCTCCCCGCTCTGCCTGCTCGGTGGAGGTAGTCGGCGTGGGTCTCTGGGAAGTCGTAGTTGATGATCAGGCGCATCCTGGAGGTGTCCAGGCCGCGCGAGGCTCTCCTCTGAGTCCACTGGTATGGGCTTTGGTTCTTGTATTTTAGATTTCATCCCTGGCAAAGTGGCTCTCCGACGAGCAGCCGTCTCAATGTTCTGCACCCGCTCCACATCCCACGGGTGAGTGACGAAGCTGAGCACCTCTCCGTGCTCCACGCCTCCGGCTCTCCCCACTCTGCCTGCTCGGTGGAGGTAGTCGGTGTAGGTCTCCGGGAAGTCGTAGTTGATGATCAGGCGCACCCTGGAGGTGTCCAGGCCGCGCGAGACGATGTCTGTGCAAACGAGCACGTTCGTGCCGCCCTTCTGGAAGCACTGGAAGATCCCTGCACGCACGGCGGCGGGCATCTCTCCTTGCAGTCGGGCGTGCTGGAACCCCATTTCCTCCAGATTGTAGCCCAGCCAGTTCACGGTGGTAGACTTGTTGCAGAACACGAGCGCAGCGCCCCCTTTCTTGTCACACTGAAACAACTTCAGGGCTTGACAGAGCTCCAGGATTTTGTCTGCACTCTTTACCTTCAGGAACCTCTGCTTGACGTGGGGCATGAGGCGATGCAGCATCCTGCTCTTGATCGTCACGATATTCCCGAGGTCTGTCACCTTGCTGAGCACTTCCCCGACACCCCCGGGGAAGGTGGCCCCAATGAGCAGCAGCTGGGCTTTATAATCCAGGCCCCGCGTTTCCCTGGGATGGTTCGCGATGTCCGTATGCTGAAGGATGTTCTCCAGCAGCTCAGAGAAGCTGGGGTCAAACATGGTGTCAGCCTCATCTATCACCAAGAAGTGCAGCGCACCCAAATCCAGATAATTCCTCCGCAGGGCCTTGACCAGGGCACCTGGTGTGGCCACTAAAATATCTGGATGATCCTGCCGAAAGATTCCCTTGATGTGGCCCATGCCTTGCCCACCACCCACAACCTGTGTGTGCAAGTTGAAGGGAGCACACAGAGTTCTGGAGACAGCCGCTACTTGCTCACTTAGCTCTTTGGACGGCACCAGAATCGCTGCAAGAATCTTGTTTGTGCTCTCGGCGTTCGTTTCGGCGTTTATTTGAGCCCGCAGCTTCTGAACAACGGGCAGCAGGTAGCTCAGTGTTTTCCCACTGCCCGTTTCTGCAGCGCAGAGAATGTTGTGACCTTTCATGACCATGGGGATGGTCTGCAGCTGCACGGTGGTGGGATGAGTGATCCCAATGCTTTCCAAAGTGTTAATCAGCTCCTTGCAGATGTGGAGGTTCTCAAACGTCACGGCTGTTTCCCGTTCCGCCTCCGTCATCTGGCTGGGGGCAACGCAGGGCGCTGCGTCTTTAATGTTGTTGACGGTGAAGTGGTCGCCGTGGGATTTTTTGTGTTTCCAACCTTTGGAGGCCAGAACGGGCTGCTCGAACTTCCCCAGGGTGTGTCCCGCAGACTGCTTACAACACGGGTGCTTGCTGTCGATCAGGAGCTTGCCCCCTTTAATAAGGTTGACTTTGGTTTTGCTCCGAGCCTCCCTCATGTTTTCTGCGCGTTTCGTCATGTACTGAGGGACACGAATGATGGGTGTGTCATCTGCTTTTTCGTTCGTTCGACCAAAGCGACTTACAGAGTGGTGGACGTGTCGGAACGAAGTCGCTTTGACGAGTTCGGTGCAGTGCAGTCCGACTGAGCTGAGGGCTTTAAGCCGAGCCGAAACACAGCCGACCTTTAGCGCCTGCATCGTGAAGCGAAGTAAGCCGACGATGTCTAAAATAAACCCCAAACCAAAGTAAAATAGAAAACAAGCAGATAATATCACGAGTCAATCGTTAAAAGTCCTCAAAATATATATAAAAAATAAACAGTAATTTGTTAGAATCCCGCACCACTAAATTGGAGATGCGCCACGCTTTAAGGCGCACAATGATGACGTATTCTTCTTCTTCTTAGTTTTTTTAATAGTGGTTGGCAAACATTTGGTGCATTACCGCCACCACCGGTAAGGAGTGTGAACCAGGACTAGCAAGCTAAAAAATAAAAACTAGATTCTTTTAATTAACCCCGTTATTATTTGATAATGAAACATGATCTTATAACTTGCATCAAAATATCTTTTTCATAATAACTTTAAAAGATTAAATTGCTCTTTTTCTCGTTCAAGACTTCTTATCATTTCAGTTCTTTCTTTCTGGTACTTTCCTAGTGGTTGACATAACATGCTTTATAGCAGTGGTTCCCAAACTTTTTATCTTCTGACCCACAAAATATCCATGGCAAAAAGTTGTGACCCCAAATATTACTGGTCTGAGTACACAAACTTCGTTAATAACCCTAAAAACACAGGCTTTTTGACAATCTAAACAGCTTGTACTTAAAAATAAATAATTATTTATACTTATTTTGTGTTTTTGTAATA